ACCATGCAAAATATATCAATGACTACCTAAAGCATGAGGGAATTCTATTGCGTAAGGAGAAAATTGTAAAAAATGCAGGGTTAAGAGCACTAGCAAAGCTTTGTTTGAATTCACTGTGGGGTAAATTTGCACAAAGTGATGATATGTTAATTACTGAATTTATTCACGACGCACTTGTATTGTACAATCGACTAAATAGCGCCGATACCGAGATTCACGATATGCAATTACTGAATGACGATTTAGTTGAAGTTATTTACAAGTGTCATTGTGAGTTTCAAAGGAAAATAAAACAACACATATATTTATTGGTATTTTTACTACTGCATGGGTACGTTTAGCATTATACAACGTGTTAGACCGATTGCATAATAATATTTTATATGGACACCGTAGTTTTTGTTGCAACGCCTGATTCAGAAAAGCCTCCTCTGGGAGACTATTTGGGGGATTTGACTAATGAAATTGACGAGGGCGAGCACACTACTGAATTTGTCTGTGGAGGTCCTAAAAATAATGCTTATACAGTTAGTAATGGTAAACAGCATTGTAAAATAAGAGGTTTCACATTGAATTTTAAAAATAGCTTGCTTTTAAACTTTGATTCGTTAAAAGAAATGATTTATAACTATGTAGAAAAACCATCAACTGTAGAAATAGCAGAATGTAAAATAGTAAGAGCAAAATGGTCGCGCAATCTTGTAAATAGAAATCAAATTAAAAAATATCAAGTTGTCTTTGACAAACCAATAATAATAGACGAAGGTACCGATACCATTCCTTATGGCTATCGTTGGTTTCCGACACTTGAAAGTTCCTACCATCAGACTTCTCCCACACACGATGCGGTGACGGATGATATTTTGTTTACATCCGTTCATCAAAATTGTGCAAGAAAATGACATGGAAAGCGGGTCTGAAGAGGAGGAAATTAGCAAGTCGATTGATTTAATGATAACCGACTCCGAAAATGATGAAGAAGTCTTTTCCGAAAGACAATCAGATATGGAGTTTCTAGATGACAGTGCTCAATCCAACAGTGAACTTTCATTTTACAGACAAGAGGATCAACAAATATAATGCCAATGCAGGTAAATTAAAGGTACATACATATACTGTATACATTTTTAACAACAAAAAAAGATGAATAGTTTTGAATCAATGAGAAGCAAACTAAAAAACAAATATACATATTTTTAGACTGAGGTTGTTTGACACATTTCTACACTGGACAAGGCTGACGATGATTGAACACGATACGCAGTCATTTCTATGTGATCGGTATGTACAGAGGGGAAACAGCGACGACAATTGTGAACTATGCAATACATCAGCATTATACAGACAAATATGGAAACTAACGTAGAAGGAACCAACACATTAAAGTTGACAGTTTTTTCTTTCGCTGGTGGAACAAAATACATAAACGATGAAGGCGATACCAATGATTCTGACGGTGATGGTGATAACAACAAGGAGGGTGATGAATGTAAAGACGAAGACGACAGCTGCGATTGAAACAGTGGTGATGCTGGTGATGAGGATGGTGGTAATAGTGGTAATAACGACAACAGAGGTGATGACTTTGACGTTGAGAATGATATCGCTGAATGTGGAGATGTTGATGACGTTGACGGCGAAAACAGCAAAGATGTAAACGATAATAACAGCGACTGTGATGAAGTTTAAATGGAGGTTGACATGTTAAAAAAATCAGCGAGGGATGAACATAAAAGTTTCGGAGAGGCGACGGAACTTGAAATGATTCACACGGGGTGGACATAATTAACGACGATGGAAGAAGAGAAAAACTGACGAACGACTGAGGTAAACGATTTCTTGTGGCTGACGTACACGAAAAAAGTGGTGCCACAGACGAAAATAAGTTCACAGGCATCAAATACAAATCTTTTTTTCTGGTTGGACACGGATCATACAACACATTTAACATTGAGAAATTTACAGGACAGGACAGAGGGTTTTCACGTAAATCAATGTACATAAGTCTTGGGTACGCACGAATAACATCAAGTTCATTCACAGTTTTAATGTTGTTTCGTCTCAACAACAAAATCCTTATTCGTGTATCTTTTACCGTTCCGACAGGAACATGCTTCAGATTCATGTTAGAACATTCTAACATATGATATCTCTTCACATAACCACATTTTTCACCATGGGTTGCACATGCCGCCATAAGAAAAAAACATACAGACAGCAAGGAATTCATTATGGAAAATTGGAGAAGTTACAAACAACTCTTGTGAACTATGAATGTAGTTACAAAATGAATGAACGATTAAAAGCCATGCCTATGCTTGTGAGGATTTTAAAGTAAAACCCTCAAGTGCTTTTTCAAATTTTCTGTCATAAATATATGCTAGAGTAAGACTTGTTCATATGTAATCAAAGACTTTGTTGTTTGATTGATGTAGATAATTAGAAAAATATTTAATAAAAATTGCTCATTGTCCAATGTATTCTTAATGTATGCACTTTGTCACTATTTTACAAATACCGCCCCATTCAAACCAGTCGAATCATTCCTTCTTTCTTTGAATATGTCAAAATGTTTACTAGCGAGTGGTTATAAAAGTGAAAGCAGAACATGTTTGCTTTTATTTGCGAGACAATGGACGTACGTTTTAGAACACCTGCCAACTTTTAAGTGTGTGGTCAAAGTCAGTCGGGCAAAAGCTATTTGGTTAGGTCGATGCTTTATAATTTAAATGAACTTTTTTATCCCGTTCCGAATAAAATTATTTACTGTTATGGCGAACGGCAAAGTGAATTTGGTGAAATGGAATCGAAAATTCCAAACATTTGCTTCGTCGAAGGATTCCCTGAGAACTTGACCGATGTTTTGGAAGGATGTCAAAACTCTTTAGTCATTGTAGACGATCTTATGTCCGAGTGTTCTAATGATCAACGAATGTCGGATTTATTTACCCGCGGGTCACATCATCGCGGAATATCTGTCATGTATTTAACGCAAAATTTATTTCCGCCTGGTAAACAATCGCGAACTATAAGTCTAAATTCCCATTACATGATCATTTTCAAAAACCCTAGAGACATTTTAGGTTTCTCCACACTGGCACGACAAATGTATCCGAAGAAAATGAATTACCTTTTGGAATCATTTCAAGATGCTACAAGCCGCCCTTTCGGTTATCTAATGCTGGATATGCATCAGCTCACACCTGACAATATGCCTGTCAGAACAAATATCCTGCCTGGTGAAAAGCATATTGTCTATGTACATAAGTAATAATCATCGCCATCAACAATCATTTAAGCACTATGTCTAAGCGAATTAGGAACAATCTTCCGTATTTGCAAGTACTCGCAAAATCTAAACCAAAAATTCGAAAAGTGATCATCGAACATGGACCTTCTGACGTTATTTTGTGTATTTGTGAATGTACAGTGAACGTGTTAAAAGGAACTGTACCTATATCTGTGAATCAAAAACGTCAATTGTCGAGGTATAAGAAACATCTCAGAGCATTAGCCAACAAGAAAATTTCAAGGGCAAAGAAGAAAAGATTTTAAATCAAAAAGGAGGAAATCTGCTGACTGCGTTACTACCTCCGGTTTTGACAGTGCTAGGTAGTTTGTTGACAAAATGAAGCATGCCAAGCGTATGATTCTTGTACCTGAAGATGTATTTAACAGATACGAAAAACAACAAAAACTTGAAACTAGTCCGATCATGATGAATATGATGAATAAAGACTCGCAGCTCTCACATATTCTTCAACAAGACGATATGAGTGACGATCAAAGACAAAAACTTTTTAACGCAAACTTTGAACAATTCCTTAAATTGAAGCAACAGAAAGATAATCAGATACCCATGGTACGTGTGGTAGACACTGTTGATGGGAATGAAAAAAACATAATAAGTGACAACGAAAATCAGACATTAGCTGACTCTGTCATTGTACAAAGTGTGCCAAAAACTATGCTTGAGCGGGCGAAAGCAATGTTGCAGCGCCTTAGAACACACCCAAGTATAATATCTTGGGACGGTTCTGGACAAGTCAAACTTGAGGGAGTCACCATTCCGCAATCAAACATAACAGATCTAATTAGCGATGCTGTGAGAGGAAGGAAAAATTTCAATCCTAAAGGGTCTAAAGAATTCTTTCGTGTTTTATCAAAAATAAACATTCCTCGAGATTTGGTTAGGAACGATATGAGATGGAAGAAGGCTCAAATGGAAACTTTACCACGTGAAGAAAACGAAACAGTTTATCCTAGCTCATCAAAAACGAAATTCATAACGCCCAAAGCTTCCACTACACACAAGAAAACTCATTTACGTTGGTTAAGCTATTAATATGTCTTGTAAAGTATTTTTTCTTTAAATAAAAATCGCAGTTGATATCATTTTCCTCATTGTTGTCAATGAAAATATGTAAATACAAAATGCAAGCAATTAAGTCACACAAAGCACTTTTTATTCATTATTAAACACTTCAATCTTTTACAAATAAGTTTGTACTTGACTGATTTCCGTTGTTAGGGATTACACTAGTTTCTATTTGAAAATGTTTGTTTACAAAATTCGATACCTTCTTATCGTTTTCAACAGTATTACCATCAAACATGCTTACAATTCTACTCATACTATGGCCTCGCACTCTTTGGCTTAGGTAAAATATACAATATTGTCCACATACATCGGTCCAAATACTTTGTAATTTGCGTGCATTAAAATCCCAATCATAATGTTTCAAATAGTCTCTAAAGAATTTATGATAAGTCTCAGGCGACTGGCCATAGCTGTCGAAGAATTCGGCTTTTCGTTCAGACGGAAAGTAAAATGCAACCCAATGACTTCCAGGTTTTCCGTTGATATCGGTGTTTGCTATTAACCCATTCGGATAACTTTTGATTACTTTAGGTAAACGATTGGCTGGAAAAACACCAAGAAATTTCTTGCTTGTAACAGGATCCGATCTCAAAGCAGACGATATTTGTGAGGTGTTCATTTAACCAATGTAGTCATAGACAACATTCCTCTCCGAATCGATAAAGATCACGTTTTCAAACTCTCCATAGCACACAAGACTAACAGCATTAGTTGGTGCTGTTGAGAATTGTATGTCAATGGCAAGATTTCCTTTTTGCACTGTATTAAAATGTTCTCCCGTACCACACATATCAGGCGTCAAATCAAAACAGTACAAAGCAAAACCCTTTAGAAACTCATCACGATCAATTCCATTTCCGGCGTTCAAAAACATTTTTCCAGTGCCAGCAAATTGTGATAGAAATGCTTCTATGTATCTAGGATTGTTACCAAACGACAGCTTGAAAGGTTTAGATGGTAGAGATTTGCCGTTTACAGAAATGCCTAAGGATGAAACGTTGAAATGCTGGAAATTGAATGGGTGTAATTTATAAGCACCATTGAATGCAGCACTTGCAACAAGTCCGACGACAAGTGATTTCGGTACCAAACCATTGAAAAGATTATCTTTTTGCAACGATGGGCTTCCTGATGGAATGATGAAACTTTTGCAGTCCACACGCCTTACAGGGTAAACGGCTGGGCTTTTTTTCAGTGCAACTTCGTGAGACATAGCTCTACTAGGATTCACTTTAACTTTGCGAACTTTTAGATAAACATCCACCAGTTTCACTTTAAATGCTGCATCGTCATCGGATGCCATTAGGGCAAACTCGTCACTGGTACGGTTCACTACCACTTTCAAATCAACATAGCTAAGCAGGAGGCGTTCACCGAAGAAAACATCACAAAATATAGGGCCTCCCATTTCGACAATTGCACTTCTCGCAGTAAATTTCGTGTTTTCAAGCCTTTGTTTGGACTGGCGTTTGCTGGGTCGGCAACCTCCATTTTTGAAGCTTCGTCCTTGTAAAACAACGCAGCTGTCAGCTGGGATTGTTTAGCTGATGGACCATAATTTAAAAGTGTATCGATATATGCACGATAAGGATAAGTTCCTGTCGCTTGGGTTACTAGCTTCCCTTTCAAAAACACATCAACTTGCTTAAACAAACTATGCAAGAAATTGTTCACCGGTCCTACTTTAGCGCCATCGTCGAGATTTCCACCGTCAGCTTTCGTTACTTTGGCTCTGACCATCAACATTGTATTAGACAAGTCAACATAATCTTCTGTACCTGGCGCTAAAAAGGTAATCGGACCGTTTTCAGATACACTAGAGACAGGTGGATGGTCTATCCATCGCCCCTTTTCCAAACTGGTTTGCGTTGGGGGTACGAAAAATATATCAAGTTCACTTTTTGTACATTCTGCTGATTTTGGATGAACGAACTCCATATTTAACCGAAAATATCTTCTGCTTCTTTAGCTGCTTTATGTCTCTTGGCTGAATGGTAAATGACATGAGAAAACGATGCTTTTTTTTTGCCTGTTTCTTCTGGGGTTTTCCTCTTCCTGTTTGAGCAAACTGTTGTATACGGTTTACAGCTTTTTTCCCTGTTTCTTTTGCTGCTTGATTAACACGAGATTTTGCAGACTTTGTAAAACTTTTCCCTGATATAACATCACCCAAAACGTTTGCACCTGTATCGAGGGCAATTTTACCTAGAGCTTTTGCGCCGGTTTTTGCCAAAGGTATTGCAGCTCTAGCCAATCTACGAAATAAACCACCAAGACCATAACCCATCTGCCCATAACCTTTTTGCCAGGATGCTCCTCTAAAGACAGGTTGTGTTCCGTATCCTTTTTGCTGATTGAGATAATATTGAACATAATGGTTTGTTCTACTCATATTTTTTTTTCTTATGTAAAATAAGATAAGGATTGTTTTCTGAAATGAAGTGTCACTATCGACTTCCCTCGTTCAAATGCGATGGGATTTCCTAACTCGTCCCTTAAGAGAATTTCGATGTCCTCAAAAGATTTTGTTTGCACGGGTAAGTATTGGATATTAGTGAATGTTCTTGAAACAATGTCTCCATATTTTCCTTGAATAGCAACTGCCTTTAGTAATTTTACATTGACGTCTCCAACAACTTGCGGTTGTACAATGTTGCAATATACATACATCATGACGGATCCGTGCAAGTCACAAACATAAGGACTTTCGGTTGTTTTTAAAATCTCTACGTCTTTTCCGCCAAAGCCGAGTAAGACCGACATTTGTTGATTAAATGATATTTTGTAACCCTGTCTTACATGCACTTTAATTTTTTCTGTTCGCGGGTCAAAGCTCAATTTGATATTGTCTTTTACTTCTTTGTCAAGAGTCTCGTTAACTGATTTTACTAGGTCGAAGGCTTTTTCATACAAGCCATAGTCGACAAATACCGGAGTAGGTAGACCTGTTTTGTGAGTTACATATATATGTGTATCCAAACCTTTTTTCAACGTGTACCATGTATGAGGATATGTAATTGAATACAATCCTACTTCCCAATTACCATTTAAATTCACGACGTGAGGTAGTTTTACGCGAAAACCTGAAATCTTATTCTCAGGAAATACAGAGAGAGATGCATTACTAGGTAATGTTAGATAGAAGTGTGTCCCGCTCATCTTTAAGGTATAATGTGAAATGAAAAAACCATGAAAACGGTTACGTTTTATATATGTATTTCCGATGCTGGTACCCATGAATTAAATTTGTTAGGGTAGGCAGACCACTTTACAAAATATTGTACATTGCCCCCTCTACCACGTTTCTTAAGTATTTTTCAATCTCATAAACATCGTCTTTCTTGATGACTTTTGAAGTTTTTTCATAAAATGTTCCTTGAAGTTCGTCCCTTCATGATCTTTCAGTCTGTATACAGGAGGATTGCGCGGTATTTTTGACTTACAGTGAAAATTTCTTTTGAAAAATTCGGTAAATACCCCTTCTCAAACCTTCGTTTTATTTTACTTATTCGTACTTGGTTACCTATATTAAACTTATATTTTACATGCGAAGGTTTATTTAATTTGCTATCCCCGTATAGATTTTGCCGAATTCTATCTTCATTTTCACTTGTAACGTTGATCGGTTTTTCCTTAATGCTGCGATGCATGCTATGATTATGAGAATACAGAAGATCAGGAAGCATGTCAATGTATCTCATGGTTTTGTTTGCTGTGAAGTAGCGCCACATTTTAGTTTTCAGTGTACGTATCAAACGTTCAACGATGGATGCCTTCGTCTCGTTAAATGTATTAAACAAGGTAACGTTTTCTTCTGCCAAAGTTTCTTAAAGTCTCGATTAAAAACTCCGAGCCTTGATCCGTTTGAATGTGTGTCGGTTTACGCCCTGATGACAAAATCTTTTAAAAGCTTCTACCAACGACGATCCTGTTTTCTTTTTAATGGAACAGCCCATGCATATTTGGAAAAAACATCAATACAGATAAGAAGATAGCGATAACCATCATTATACTTTTGCAAAGATTGCATGTCTGCAAGATCCAATTGCCACTGGTCGTCAATACCACTCACTACGACACGATTTCTTTCAAACTTTCTTCGAATAGGTTTATGCAAAGAGTATGCGTCTTGTTGCATGAGCCATTCTTTAATTCTTTCACGACTAATGTCATATATTCCTTCTGCCTTTACATCGCGGTACAAACGTTCAACACCTCCGTAGCTTCCAGGACGTTTTGGATTGAAGTATACACCGGCTAAGTACTGGTCAACGTTACTCATGACAATGTTCTCGTGATAATAATTTTGCAATTAGATGTCAATTTCTTTTAACTACTCATTATCGACGGGTTCAATGTTTTCAGTTACAGGCAGTGTTTCTTCTATCGCATTATCTGTTGGAAGTTTAATTGCGGCGGGTCCATAATTTTAACAGTTTTACTTGTGTATCCTGCTTGCAAATGACCCTCAAGATTGAGATCGTTGCGTCCGAAACTTATACCCAAGCGAAACATTTTCTGACGATTATGATTTTTATCCCTTTTGCATTTCTATTTTCACGTTTGCTGCTACCGATTCCCATTTTCACAATGACATGGTCATAAAACAACTGAAGTCAAAATGCAATAACATTGAAATTTATATTTTATTTTTTTTTTTGTCAAAGCAATTACATAGTTGATTTGTATTTCAGTTTACAACTACAATCAGCATAGTCAAAGAGATGTTGAAAAAAAGGAGGACGTTTTGTCTCCGTGTAAATTAACATTAGTTCTACCCAAGTAGCACTAAACAGTTTGTCAAAATATGTCTTGTGAGAGTTCGAAGGTCCACAGTTCTTTAGAAACTTAAAGGCTTCACATATTCCATTCCAGACATGTTCGCGATTAATTGTTTCGACTGCTCGAGCTGCAAAATTGAACCAACGATCTTCCTCAGTCATCATTTCTAAAACGTTTTGATACTCTACCCAAGGATCTGCTTTACTTTCATCCTTTTCAGCTCTTCGTAGCTCTTGAATCTTTTTACTTATAAAATCGACGAAAATCAAATTGATAAGATCGCTGTGACTAACTTCTTCAAACTCAACAGTGTCTGCATATATCTGATTAAACATGTGTGCCATATTTTTTGTCTTTTTTCAAAACGTCCAAAAGCAATGCAATAATGTACAACGCAAATAACATTTTTTAAGACGATAGTTCGACTATAAAGTGAATCGTGTAATGAAATACACAATGAGGGCTTTAAGACATTTTATTGGATGCTTTAATAAATTAGATAATATTTCTTGTCATTTGTTTCATTTCCCTTTATTATGATAACCTATCACATTCAACATTCCCCCGCTAAGTTCGTTTCCGGTTTACACGCGCACGCCCTGTTTACTTCCTAGGACTGGAAACTAATTGACACGGGTAAGAGCTCCGTTTACTTCCGGGACCATACCTGCACCATAACTACCAGCATCTTGTTATCACGAGGCAAACAATGAACTCAAAACTAGCTAGAAAGTGAAAGAGAGGGCTTGCTTTGCTGGATGTCTCTACACTACTGTTGCGTTCAAGATTGTAGTACATCTCCCTAGGTGTGAAAACGATTGGCAAAAATAGCTCCTCAAACGTGTCAAGACTTTGAATGCGCTCCACCCACCTAGATTTGCAAGCACTTTTCAACCTTTTTTTTAAAGAGTGTAAGCAATATTTGGTGATATTGGATTCTAGTAGAAGCAGCCTTGTATCACAAGAATTAAAAAAAATTGCGACTTTTTTACTCTTTCCAAGAGATTTCTAACAGACTAAAGAGAGCACGATGAAGAAATCCTGAAATTAATCTATGGCTATAGCAATGAGTGTCGATGGTAGAAACGATGTTTCTATATATGTCATTATACATCAATATACCGTAAAGAATAGGTAGGTGGCGCGGTGATTTGAGGAGTTTAGCAAATATAGAGCTACTGCACATTTATGAATACGATTCAAATAATGTTATACATTCAATTTCATTAAAGTCCTGTGTTAAAATATGTTCGGGATTTTAAAAATGTTTTTTGTACTCGCTGCTCATTCAAATGATTCAGTGCTGCCCTAAACCTTTTGCATTTGCTGAGCTTCTTAGCTTGATCATATCGTGAAAAGGACGTCTTTATGATTTTTTACGAATTCTAATTTTCGAACAATAACTTCAATTGAAATTTTGACTGAAAATAACATTTTGCTATAAATGCTTTTATAAACTTTTATCAACTAATGTTCATTCAACCGTTGTGTGTTTTGTATTGATTTAAGCAAATATCTCTTTAATTGATTTACACATTTACACTGTCGTTGCTACTTGCAGATCCAGGGTATTTAAAAAACACACTGCTATAAATATATTTTTAAGTCATAATATGTTACCCCTATTTTAATTGGTATTATTGGTATTATAGTCTTTAGATATTTATGAAGAGCTGCTTCATTGTTAAAACTTGTACAAAAATAGTATTTTGAATTTAAAATTAGGCCTTACAAGGATTTCGAATTCCCCTAGATGTGCCTTTGTTTCTGTCTAAAAACGTTCTAAATAGGTTATATTTGCTTTCATTCTGTTCCCTTTACAAAGAATTTTTTGTCTTTTGCTGAGGTTTCGCAACAGTTGCATGAATCCCGACACTTTGCGTTTAATTGCATGCTCTTTATTGCATTTCTTGGTAATAGTTTGACAAGTGTTGCCGGTCATGTTTATACTTATTTTAACGTTTTGTTATTCTAAACAGATGATATTTGAAATTCATAAAATACTAAAGACAGAGATAATGCATAATGTTATGTGCTATCCACCACCAGCGCACTATCATCAGTGTAAATCCGCTAAACTTGCATTTTTATAATATCTTAAACTTTTAAAAAATTGCGACTATAGCTAATTTTGCAGATTTTGTGAAGAATACTTTCACCATTAAATACTGCTTATGCGTGCTTCCGAATCAGAAAACATATGCATTTTTATAAGACATAACCTCTGAAAATAGAGGAGTAATTAGATTAGACAGATTGGTGAATATAAAACAGGCAGATAGGCACGCAGACAAATTGATCAGTTTCGAGTTTGCAATAATTTTACCATAATAACAATACTCAAGAAACACTTCATCAATTCTGATTGGTTTAGAGCAGTACAAATTTTAATTTATACTAGAAATAAAATAAGAAGTATTAGCATAAATTTGTTTTTAAAAGTGTTCCTCATAGGTTAGTCAAACAATTATGGATATTATCATAAGAACAGGTCAACATAAAATATTTCAAAGAAAGAGCGATAACATTTCAGAGGGGATTAAGACTGGGTCAACAGGTTTGTATGAACCTATAGGATTCTTAATAAAAATTTAGAAATCAAACGAGACTTACCGTAAGTCTAAGTTTGATCGTTATTCTTTGAGTTTTTGGACAAGGAACCTAAGTGTAGTAATTTTTGTTACGAATATGCGCATTTAATATATACGACAGGTAATTGCTATAAATCTGACTCTGTAAGAGCTAAGCTCTCTTGGGACACCTTAGAGGCAAGGAGAAAAGCGCAATTAGAGATTTTAATGATACAAATAATGAAAGATGATTCTATACATTATCTTCAACGCTTTTTCTCAATACGTAGTAATGAAATGTATGAAGTACGAAATAACAATCACGTTCTCAACTTGTCAAAACCAAAAACAAATGCCTTAAAATAGACATGTTAGAGACATAACAGACGTATACTGAAGATGGCATCATGAGATGTCGAAACATGTCTATTTGAAAAAAAAACAACAAAAAAACTTGTCGTATGTATAAAAGGCGCATTAGCAATAGTGCTTCTACGAAATTATGTTACGAATATATAATGTGGATGCTGCCGGTCATTTAGTATGGCAAGCCAAACACGTCAAAAGTGTTGTTTTAAAAAACACTTGTTGAAATACAGTGTCTTGAGATGAAAAAAGTGAGGTGTGAGACGAAACATTTGATGTGTGAGAAAGGCAAGAAAAAATTTGTTATCCGAAAAAAATAGGTACGCATTGCGTACACGCAGGTAGCCTATCTATTATATATATATATATTTATTTATTTATTTACATTTATTTAAACACGGTAGTATCTCAACTTGGATACTAAATTACAATTGCATATAAAAATAAAAAAGTTGATTTTCAGATAGCTGTGTGATAAAATAAAATTAAAAAGGATACTACGTGTAGGTATAAAATAAAAAAAATAACAAAGAAAAACAAAGTATGAGCTATATAAAAATAAAAATATTTAGTCTATAAAGTTTATGCATGCAATGTTATTTTATTTTGTCTTTAATGTTATTCAAATCCTCTGCACCTCTATATGCAAAGCTACGTTTTAAGGCATTTGTTTTTGGTTTTGACAAGTTGAGAACGTGATTGTTATTTCGTACTTCATACATTTCATTACTACGTATTGAGAAAAACTGTTGAAGATAATCTATAGAATTATCTTTCATTATTTGTATCATTAAAATCTCTAATTGCGCTTTTCTCCTTGCCTCTAAGGTGTCCCAAGAGAGCTTAGCTCTTACAGAGTCAGATTTATAGCAATCACCTGTAATTATTCGGCCAGCTTTATATTGAAGATTTTGTAATATAATCTGTAAACTATTGGAGCAGTTGTTCCATACCAAAGCACAGTAATCAAAATGTGGCAATACAAAATCATTATACATGACTTTAAGCGTGTCTTAGTCAAGTATATTTTTTGATCTATGCAGTATGCCAATTCCCTTGGAAGCATTTTTTGCCACATTTTCAATATGATTTTTCCAAGTGATGCATTCAGTCACAACTACACCAAGTGTCTTAATGGACGAAACACGTTTAATAGGTTCAGTCCCTATCAATAAAGATGGATCAGCACTAACTTGGGACGATTTTTGTCTTGTTCCAATTAAAATATGCTCAGTTTTTTTGACATTTAAGGTCAGCTTATTACTTAAAAGCCACATATGGACTTACTTAATTCAAATTTCAAATTCTTTTGAATCTCGTTTGATGTAAAGGCACAAACTGTGAGATTTGTATCATCTGCAAAAAGTGTTGGTACGGAGGTACTAAGACAATTCGGCAACTCATTTATATAAAGTAAGAAAAGAATAGGACCGAGATTTGACCCCTAACCCTTCGTTACGTTTTTACTGTTTGAAATGGACATTCCCACTTTACATACTTGTGTTCTGTTTCTTAGATATGAGATGAACCAGCCAAGTGCATTATTTTTAATGCCATAAAGTTCTAGCTGTTTTTTTATCAAAATACTGTGATCTACTGTATCAAACGCCTTTTGTAAATCTAAGAAAACTACGCTAATTAATAACCCCTTGTCCATGTTAAATAATCATTTATTTGTTGTTCTCGACAAGAAGGAACAAGTAGAAGTAGAATATCCTTTCCTAAAGCCCGACTGATAGTTACATGAAAAAGCTCACTGATTCTATATCTGAAGGATTTGTTTTATAGAGGCAAATGATGTGTCCAGCACCAGGTGTGATTCAGCCACGGTGTATTGCTCCCCAGGCAAACAACAGCATGTTCAAATACAGCAACACAGAACATGCATCTCAGCTAAGCAATCCAGCGGGACATAGTGGACAATTTTTGAACTCTCAGTCCTTGTACTCAGACAATAGGAGTAGTTTTTAAGCTGTGCTAAGGAGATATGTTAGATATTATCCATTTCTTGAGATTTATGACATTGAAAATATTGTTGGTTTTGTTCAAAGTTTATAATACATCTTATTAAAGAAGACGCAAACTGTGCGTTGATATATAAGGTTATAAAATATTATTGGTATATTGAATTGTTGCTGGTATATTGAATTGTTACTTGTATTTTTCATGCACTCTGATGATATAATTGACTGTAGATTTATAGAGCATAGTCAACCTGAATTTTATGGTAAGTTGCTCACTCTAAGTGTTGATGAAACAATGCACAGTAAAAATGCACAGTAAACAGAAAAATTACAGTAAAAGTTGACAAAACAACAAAGGTTATTAGCTACATAAAGGATTTTCAACATAATACTATTTTTTATGCAACTTGAAACTTAAATCTGTTCTTAATTGAGTAATGTAAAATCAGCTAAGAAGCCGTCTTTTGCATTTTGCTAATGAATTTATACTAGTGTACATTCATCTACTTAACTCTTTCTCTTATTAACATGTAGAATTTTGCTTCTAGTTACAAGAGATAGCACATCATGTAATCTGGCTGAGTGAATACTGTATAATTTTAAGGGTCAAAATAATTTGTGAGAATTCTCCTTATTTCCTTCCCTTCTGCTTCATTACAATATGTTCTGTAGTTGTTGTGACTAGGTGCTGGCTGAAAGTGGCTATCATATTCATATAATTACGTTACATCGGCTTACTTTGGTTTTACAATGTAATAAAATAAATAATGCGAAATACCTTTGTCAGTAAGTTAAATAATAGAAATACATTCGGCGGCACATATATGTGAACCAAGCAACATTACGTCATGCGTACCATGTGATCGTACGTCAAATGTGCCTGCGAGCCATAAATACAATGTTGTATGTAATGTTGTACCTATGTCTTGTGACGCGTCCTATGATTTATTTTAACGCATGAACGTAAGATAGTCACAAGCCTATATACAAAGTCGTGATATAAAGACGGTCACTTGCTTCAAAAATGAAGTCGCATACGGATTTTCAGGTGTTTAAATCAAGAAATATTGCTTATTGTAGTTATAGCAAAGAAACAAGCAATTTGACACTCTGTTATGATTTTACATTAAACCAAAATTGCTCGTGTTTACGAAATGTGACAAAGGATATCGTATGTCGGGAAGACTTGTACGAGAACATCACAGAAGCTCTGTCTTGGGTTTTATTATTCATGATACTTGTCTTAGCAGCTGAGTTGGTAGCTATAAGGTAATGATTGATAAAATGCCCAAAATGTTTGTAAATATTTTGGAACTATAAAATGTTTTCATATTTTTGCAAGATAAATAAACAAGGCAACATATGTGCGCAAATGCCAATATATGAAAATAAGTTTCCAAAAAATGACTGTTGCAAATAATAAAGCATTTGGACCAAAAACCATGACCAGCCGACAATTTAAAGAAGTATAATATAAAACAAATTCCGAAGAGGCAAGACATCTTGAGATTGCAAAATATGAATCAAAACAAGACGAGAAGTAAACTGTAAATTTTCGGCTTTATTTCAAAGTCATCCTCAGACACAATGATATTTAAAACCATACATACACATATATATTTACAACGGATGAAATACAAACTCATATGCCTTTCCATCAACCGCTTGCTCTCATCTGAGAAAACCAAAATCGCTTCCAGACATCAAAAAAAGCTATCTGTCTTAATCTCTCTTGAATGAACAACTGATGGCATCACCGCAAACCCTAATGAAACCAAAGTGAACCTGACAAATCACTCACACTCTTCTGATGAACTAGATGTGCTGAAACTAGGACTCAGATATGGTCTTCCTACTCGACCGAACCAACTAGAAATCATGGCTATTGCTGAAGACGTCTGGAGACAAAATTCAAGAATCGATTCTTTTAAGAAAGGACGATATGTTGAAGATAAGGTTAAAAACTCACTTCACTCTTTTACATACAATTATATTGATTTAGACCTAAAAGAATTTAAGTTAGGGCGCATGAAGAGAAATATTCTGCACAAATTAACCGAAACTTTCGCCATTCTCAAGCCTGACAAGGGAAATGGCATTGTACTTATAAACCACTCTTTTTATATATTTTCTGTTGAATCCCTCTTCTCTAACCCCTCTAAGTTTAAGAAATTAAATCACGACCCGACACTAACCAGACTTCATTCTCTTCAAAACTACCTTCGTAAACTCAACAAACGTGGTGAAATTAATGACGAGCAATTTGACTCTCCTAAACCTGTTACAGCACAATTTGGTAGAGCACATGGTTTACCAAAGACACACAAGAAATATGATACTTTAACAAAATTCAGACCAATAATTGACACTACTTACACTCCTCACTACAACGTTGGCAAACTTTTCTCTTCCCTACTATATCCTCTCACTCTAAATTCCTTTTCCCTTTCTGACTCTTTTGACGCAGTAATCAATATTAATAACATTCCTAAACATCTGTTCGCTGAAGGCTACAATTTGTTTCATTCGACTTTGAATCCCTTTTTAACAACGCTCCATTGTCTCGCACTGTCAAAAATCAATTTAGACCGCATTTAAGATGAACACATAATTTCAACAACTTCAAAAAGTCTACATTGAAAAAACTCATATTAGATTGCTGAAAAAACTGCCTTTTCTTTTAATAACACCATTTATACCCAAAAAGACGGCGTTTCTATGGTTCCTCATTAGGACCTGTCCTTGCTAATATAATTTTAACCGAATTTGAAAAATTAATAGTTTCCGATCTCATTTATGATGGCACAATAAAATTCTGCAACCGTTAAGTTGATGACACGCTTGTTTTGATCAAACCCTCCAATGTTTCCGCTGTCGTATCGAAATTTAACAGTCTTGATGCCAATCTCACATTCACAGTTGATAGATTACATGATGGCATAATTCGCTTTCTAGATATAAAAATTTCGGTTGATGGAACTGGCATTTACCAAAAAGACACCCACACTGATAAGTACTCACATTTCTCTAGCTTAGAACCTTTTCATTGTAAAATTGCATGGGTAAAATCTCTTTACCACTTTTTTCTTGACTTATAACACACTCATTCTACCAGTCGGGTCGGCAGTTTCAATTCATCCTATTGAAATACTACACCTCTTCCAACTCTGCCTTTGTAAATATTACACTATTTAATTTCTATTGCTCATTTCCGTTTACTTAGTTCATGCGTTGTAAATATATATGTGTTATGTATGGTTTTAAATATCATTCTGTCTGAGGATGACTTTGAAATAAAGTCGAAAATTTACAGTTTACTTCTCGTTTTGTTTTGATTCATATTTTGCAATCTCAAGATATCTTGCTTCTTCGGAATTTGTTTTATATTATAGCATTTGGCATATAAAGGAAGTGTAAAATTTCAGACAACTACTCTCTTTTTAGTTTTTGACTCGAGGTCACGTATCTGCCATGGCATTTTCATGTGTTAAATGTATCTTATAATGTCATTCATTAACCTAAGAAATGTATAAAAATTTCTTAGCTATGTCCTGTCTTGAAGTTGAAATGCTTAACTTACCCATAATCATTAACACATAAATAAAAGTCACTATTGGTTGTAATAGCACAAACAACCATTTAAAATATTTCATCAAGTAATATTAAGGCTGAAACACACTAGGCAGTCGCTTCAGTCGCGCGTCCAAAACGAATTGATGCGCACGCGTCAGTCGCTTGAACGCCAGAAACACACATGCAGCGACCATTGCGTCTATTGAACTTGGCAGAGATTTCTGTTTGTTACAGACACAGACATCACTTAAACTTTTTATATTGGCCTGTATTATAGCTACTAATATATGAATATTTACTCAGTACAAACTACTTTGTGGAGAAAAGAGAACAAGCCAGTTAAAACACGCAAATATGATCATAGCTCATTACGCGTATATCGTGGACAATCTTATTCTGTGCATTTGGTTGTGCATTAGGGTTCCAGGTTGTAGCTCCTACTGTCCCTATTTGATAAGTCATATAAAAACTGAAAGATTCCAATGTGAATTCACTGTATATTGCCCTCGTTTTCCAAGGTATAATCTATAAATTCCGTACGATGCTTATGACAGGTAATATGGAGTTTAGGCATTTAGGGAGTTAAAATGTATCTATTGGCCAGTCAGTGTCAAGCGACTAAAGCGACCATTGTCAAAAGTTCAACATGTTGAACTTTCAAAGCGACTTGATGACGCCATAGAGTTCTATAAGACCTGGAGGGAACACGCCAACAAAATTACTATAAATTATTTGCGCGCGGCCCGTGGTCAAAAACATGGCGGATTTTGGTGGCCATAGTCAGCAGAAAGACGCGGGCTCGTGAAATAAAAATTTTGTCGCCCATCCTGATTTGACCACCACGATTGCGAGTATAGAAAATATCAAAACTATTTATTTTCCTAACATAAACACTTTTAAAATTTTATTTATTAAAAAATCTGCCAACTTCCGTGGTTTGCGAATGCTGAAATAGCGACAGAAAAGGAAACATTTCATGACTCCGATAAGTAACACAGTAGTAGTTTTACTATTTTGTTTTTAACACGATACTTGAAGAGTATTTCTACTACTAAGTTTTAATTTAAAGTTATTTTGGTCCAGTCTTGTTTGTTCTTCACCTTATCGCTCGCCAGACGTGGCGAAGCTGCCAATTTTTATCGAGTTTTGCATCCGTCTTGTATCATGATCAAGGCATCGAGCTTAACTCTCCTGATTTGAATTGAGTTTACATCCCAATAATAGGGAAGAATTTGTTCGTATTTTTTTTTAAATATAAAGGGAAAGTTTACAACAGAGTTGTGTTGAAATTGAATGCAGTGCCATGCAAAATTAATGAGGTATATGCTGTATAATAAAAATAACTATTAAACTGCTTGCCAGCTCAATTTGACTGACTGTATAGTGTAGACAATTATAATGGGATTGGAAAGTTGGATTTATGCAAACAGTTTTAAAGTACTACTTAGCGTTTCTGTAAATGAAGTATTTATTGTTATAGTAAACAGGTTAATACTTCAAAGCCAAGATAAAAGAAGTTTTTTGAACAATGTGCTAAGATTTGTTTCTACCTTTAACTTTTTGTTCAACAGTAGCTTATGATTATATTATTAATATGCATGAAAAATACAAAGATTTATTAAGTTGTTTATCACTTAATTCTCAAATGTTAGTTTGTAAATATAAATAATTAGTATTGGTAGCTGTAAGTTGTTCAAGCAAAACAAAAGAATAGTAGTGCTTGAAGGGGTTAGCATTTTTGAAAAATTATATCTTGTTCGTGACATACATTACACAATTAATAATAATAGCTAATCTTTATTGAGGATGCCAACATCACTAAAAAGTGGTTTACAGAGTGGTCCTCTAAAAGGTAACTAAATATAATATAACTACTTAAAAATAAAAAGAAAGAGAATACAAATCGAAAAATATGAAGATAAAACTACATCATTTGAAAATTAACATTATAAAAACGAAACTAATTAAAATAGTGCTTTTTTGAAACCACGCTTAAATTGGCCTAAGTTGGGCACATCTCTTAGGGAAAGGGGTAAGGCATTCCAAACGTCCGCTGCAAAATTTATTGTTATCCAGTCTCCCCATCTTCTGTGTGCGAATGATTTGCGGATATTTCGCTTTGATCGTGTATTATAGTTATGATAGTTACTGTTAAAACAGCAGCGAAAAGTGCGCATAAAAAGGTTATTAACTATCTTAAACATGAAAATAGCACGATGCTCGGATCTCCGCCTTTCTAGAGGTTTCCAATGGAGCCTTGAAAGTGCATCGCTCGCGGAAGCAGTAGGGGGAAGATCTAAAATGATTCGCGCAGCCTTATTGTGAAGGATCTGTAGCTCTGTCATAAGTGTAGTTTTGCCCCGGTCTTCCCATATTATATCGCCGTAGTCAAAAAGGGGCAGAACCAAAGAATTAAAGAAAGTTATCCTAGCGCTTAGTGGGAGACACGACTTGATGCCCCGCAAAAGGCCTAGCTTCTTGTTTATCTTATTACGCATGTGTTCAAAATGATCCTCCCAAGTAAGATTCTGATTTATAATTAATCCTAAGTAGGGAAACCATTCTGCTTCCTTAAGTTGCTTACCATCGGCTGAAACAACAATGGAATCGATTCTACGTAGTCTCGAGTTACTACCTATTAGCATAAATTGGGATTTCTTGATGTTGAGAGTAAGTTGATTAAGTTTCAACCAATC